CCCCAGAGGGGGGGAAAGCCGCAGCCTGGAGTCCCTGGCACAGCTCTTCTGAAAAGTGGCCATCAGTGAGGCCAGTGCCTTCTGCACCTGACCCTTTCATGGAACGACTGTACACTGACTTGGAGGTGGGCAGAGCGAGGATGAGATTTCCCACGGTCTACAGGGAGAGACGAGGCACAGGCCACCCACCGCAGAGTGACGAGGTTGTCCAGAGCTCAGGTGTCCTGCCTCCTACTGGCAGGACGCTAGTACGAGACCTGCCCTGGCTCGCAGATAAACTGTTCCAGACCTTGGGATGGGGACCTCACCACCTCCTCGCCTCTCCCTCTCCGGAAGGACTTCATGGCTACACGTGTCCAAACCCTTGGGTTCAGTTAGAACATCTGCTTGTGCCGAAGAGACTGGACATGGATGCCTTGACCTCCCCTCTTCCAAGGCGACCTCGACCAGGGGGAGGGCACGAGGTCTGCACAGGAGACGCAGAGCCGAGAGGGGGCGCTCACATCACACAGCCTACTGCTACTGCCCTGCCCCCGCCGGCCCACTGCCTGCTCCCACCAGGCCTCAGCACTCCGAGCTGGGTGCACGGCACAAGGGACCTTACTGTTCGTTCTTGGCAATCTCCAGTGTAAGGCTCTGGGTGCCAGCGTACACCCAGGATGCCGAACTCCCGCCACGAAGCCCTCGCCTTGCTGTGTCCACCAGTCCGTCACCTTTCTGTGATGGCCCTTACCTAGTCCTCACATGGGAATGCGCACCAGAACCAGGGAACATCCTCACGTCTCCCCACTGCCAAGGTTCTGCTGAGAATCCCAGGCGGCGCTCAGGCTTACCCCAAAAAGCCAGCTAAGCCTCGCCTGGTCAACAAGCTGTGGGGTGATAATTCGGGGAACCAGCATCCCACACTACCCACAGATCCCAGCACAGTGCCAAACACCCTACTGGATGCAAATACTGTCAGGAAGGTGCCATCAGCCTGCAAATAGTCAGACACAGAGGAGGGATAGGAATTCGCGGGCTGGGAGGTGTTTCCCAGGGACAGGGCAGAGGCAGGGCAGGCTTGGAAGCCTGAGGGTTTCCAAATGCGGAAAAGGGCGCCATCTGGTGGCCATCTGTGGAGGGGTTTCTGACCCACAGCCTAGGGATGGAGTTGGGGGGTTTCAGGAGAGCCCCGCCTCCAAGGCTGGCCCTCGAGTCTGGATTCAGAAGTCCACTCCCATGCCCACCCCATCCCTGCTCACCTCCTCCCTGAAGGGCAGCGGGGGTACGGTGGGGTCCAAGCGAAACAGGTCTTCACACAGCAGGGCTTTCAGGCATAGCGCCAGGCTCTCCACGTCGCGTGCCATGGGACCCACAGAGAGTTGCACTGGGGGGCAGGGAGGGGAAGCCAGAGAGGTCACCCAGCCCCAGTGGGCTCTGGGGCAGGGTCCAAGTAAGGGCTGGGTCATGGCCCAGGAATGCGAATAAGACAAGGAGGCAGGGAGTCAGACCCAGGGCAACATGAGCCAGACACTGCCCAAAGACAGAGGGACAGAGGCGGGACAGGCCGAGCCCACCCTCCTCCAGGGCACTAGGGAAGCACGGGCCTCACCTGCCACCTGTCCATAGATACAGCCCTTCAGGCCACTCTTGCTGGATAAGAAACACAGACGTCGGAACCTGGAAACGGCCCCTCTTCTCCTCCCACACTTGCCCAGCAGGGCCCACGCATGGCTACCAGTGCGGTCTAGCTCTCTCCCAGCAAAGCCCCCTGCCTGGAGCCCAGGGAGGCTGGAAGCCAGGCCAAGGTCACACCACGGGGCCTCAGAAACTCCCGGTACCCATCGCCTACACTGTACCTGAGGCGGTTTCCCGTGGGCTTGAGGCCGCAGATCCCACAGAAGGCGGAAGGGAACCGGATGCTGCCTCCGATGTCAGTGCCCAGGCCCAGTGGGGAGCCTCCGGACCCAATGAGGGCCCCCTCACCCCCCGAGGAGCCCCCAGGGCTCTTGGAGGGCTTCCATGGGTTCAAGGTCTGGCCGAAGAGGGGGTTGCTGCAGTCATAGCTGGAGGAAGCGG